AATGCTAGGCTCTGCCAGGCCGGCAGCTGGTTGACCTGTGCTTGATAGCAATTGGCAATTGGCAATGTGATTCTGAAAAAGAAGAAGTAATGTGATTATTTGCTTGGCAAGAATGACAAGAAACACCTAAAAGAGCAGATGTTTCGAGGGGGCACCCTACGTCCCACTGAGATGATTGTAAATGTGCACCCACCAAAAGTGTGTGGAAAGAGGGCTTGATGCGCTTGGCATCAGGCTTGCCGCTGGACAACAGGCTTCGTTTGTGGCAGGGCTGATGCAAAACAAGAGTGCGCTATGAAGGGCCAACACTGCGCCACAACTTGGCCACAACCTATGGTTTTGGACTGCAATGTTTTGCAGTCGAGTGGTAGGAATCGAGATCACGGCTCAATAACAACCCGAACTTGCAACAGCTCAGGTTGCGATGACATGGCGTTTGGGGGCCTCCAACCACTACTCGCAAGCGAGCATGGGGGATGTCACCCATCCTTTGAGGTATGTGGCTATCTCCTTTGGTACTTCAGTTGGCACCCTCTTCTCACTGCTCTCACTTCAGAAGTTCCTTCACATTGTTGGTGAGCTGTTTCACCAGCAACTCAGATTTGTTTTGCCAATCCACCTTAGAGCCTCTGCCAAATTGAAACCACCTTCAAGCCAGGTGCTTTGCTCAAAGGGCTTGGTGCCTGCCTTGGTAGCCGCCTGGATTTGCATAGCAGATGTAAATCGAGAGTTTGTTGGATGTATTTCAGAAACCCTTAAAAACCTAGAAACCCTGAAGGAATCTGCTTGTTATGTATCCTCTTGGCTTTTTGGGGATGCCCAAACTGCCAGTCCCTTAATTGGTGGTTTGCATTTGTGGCTTGTGGATTTGAACCCTGGTTCTTGTACGAAGTGAGGAGAGCAGGTCCCAATGGATAGATTCAGGCCATCCAAAGAATCAATTGATTTAGTAGGGGATGTTTTGTTGTAACAAAGGTGGAATTTGGTTGCATCCTTGGAGGAACCCGGTCAAAGTCAACCCACAAGAGGGGCCGTTTTTTTTTTATTGGAGGCCTTGGCTGACACGTGAAGACAACTTGTGGTTTGTTGTGCTTCGTTCCCTAGGGAGTTGCGCGTCAAGCTGCCTTTCGCCATGGGTAGATTTCCATGTGAACAGTTTATCTCACACGGCACGAGTGGTTGCAAGCTGACCTTCCGACTCTCAGGCTGTCCATCGCGTATGAGATGAGATGGATAGATCGACCGACCGACATACAGACCGAGAGAGGCACTGAGAGAGAGAGAGAGAGACAGCGAGACAAAAATAGACAGACGGACGGACAGACAGACAGGCAGACAGACAGAGAGAGACAGACAGAGACAGACAGACAGCGACAGACAGACAAGACAGACAGACAGACAGTCAGACAGACAGACAGACAGAGACAGACAGACAGAGACAGACAGACAGATAGTCAGACAGACAGACGGACAGGCAGACAGTCAGACAGACAGACAGAGAGACAGACAGACAGACAGATAGGTCGATTGGGGACAGGCCCTTCCGGTTCACTTCTTCAGCCTGTCACCGCAGACATCCCTATGTTTCCTGTTGTGCATCGGGCATTAGCATCGAGCGTTCTTTTGCTTGGGTGGTATGTAAAGCGAAATGGGGAGCCTTGTGTTGGGTTGCTTTGCGCTTAGGAATGCGTGCTGGACGGCCTCATGTGGGAGACCATCAAATGCTCGGGGGACTTGTTGTGCGAGCTCTTCCGGTCCAACCCCGTGCACCAGGACAGACGGGATGGGACAGAAGGTCTTTCAGATGTTGGGATCGTTCTTGTGTTCCGCAAGCCTTGAGGTGCACTCCGGCAATGAACGCCATACCTTCAATTCTTCGGACACATCATGTTCCCCGACTCGCCAGCAAAGAGGTGAATTTAATTTTGCAGGGGCTAAAGACGAACCCAAGTGCTTCAAGTGAGTGCTTCCGACACATCTTCACCTTTTCACTCCGCTAAGGGAGAGGGAAGATGCCGGCGCAGGTGAAATCCGCAAGGTCAGCTCTGCTGATGTTACCTCATCGCTTGATTCATGCGTGCAAAGCATATCCTCGCCAACTTGAACTCTTCCTGTCGGCTGGGGGATATCCATGCTTTAGCACAATGCCCGTCGCCCCTGCAACGCGGGCTGCAACGAAAATCCTAAGTCTTCAGCTATGCACTGAGATTTTGCGTGAGCTCCCTAGGAGTTGAGCAGCAGACATGCCAACACCATGCATTAAACTAGGTTTTGCAGTGACTGTTGGCAATTGAGTCGTAGCAAGCGCCGAGTGAAGTGCGAGAGTCAGTCGCATCTTGCTGTGTCTCAGCCCAAGGATGCTCATTTTGTTGGTGCTGCTTCTGTCTTGTTTCGCAAGGAAATCGATTGGACGTTTTGGAAGGCTTCTTCCCCACCCCCGGCCAATTTGGGACCGCCAAACCATGCCCAGTCAAACAGGACCCAGCCATTTTCAGGGTTTGGGTCTTTGGGCATGCTACTTTTGTTTCGGGGACCCCCCCCAAATGCCCAAACGGCTTTTCCTTTCGGTTGCCCTTCAAACAACAAAAACACAAAACAAAATCGGTTTCCCTTCAAACTCCCCCCCCCCACCCCACCCGCCAAAAAGGTCGGCCTACCCTTCCGAAAAAAAGAAAACGAGTGGGCCACCCCTTTTGGGCTCGTCTCCCCGTCTCCCCGTCTCGAGGCGGCGGTGGCGGAGGCGCTGCTGGCGCTGCTGGGCCCCCGGCCGCCCCTGGCGCAGCGCACGGCGCTCAAGGCCTTGGCGCAGCTCACCGCCGAGGGCTACGCGCGCGCCTCGCTCGGCCCGACACGCGCGAAAGGCGCGCGTGGCCTCAAGGCAGGGGGCGCCTTTTCTAGGTCCCCCAGCTAGGTTCCCTTTTAACCCCTTTTTTGGGGGAGGGTTCCCCTACTAAAATAGACGACAGAAAAAAGGGTACCCTTATTCTAACCTCTCTGCTGACGTTTGAACCTTTGATTTTGAGGTTGAATTCCATGGCTCGCTTTTCCCATTTGGGAAACATCGTCTTTTTTAGCGGTTTCCGCAATGGTCATCCCATGTAAAGGACCTTTTGTCATCCCACGCAACGGACCTTTTGATCAAAACATACGTGAGTTTGAATCTCCAACATGCCACATGTTTCCCCACACAAATAAAGCCATTTTGGGTAAAAGTTCCATCGATGATTCATACCCCAAAAACCCTTCCAAGTGTACCCCAACATGCATCAGATCTGACGATTTTATGCCGAGCTCACCGATTCGGGGGTAAAACGAGCGGACGCCAGGATGAAGGTCCTTTCGTTGGGATCCGATTCTTATGTCAGGTTTTGGACATACTTTAAACTATGTAGATGGGCGGAACTGGGGGCTGGCAAGGGGGATGCCGCTTCTTTCTTGCTGGTGCAATAGGGTAATCCCCTAAATGATGACTTTCTATGTTGGCTATGCTATGGATTTTAAAGGGTTGGGACCTCAAAAAGGGTTGGTGGACATAAATCCCCGAACTTCGATGTCAATTTGGGAGCTTGAACCACGATGGCTATGAGTTTTGACTGGATTATGTTGATTCTGTGTTTCGGGGTCAAAGTCAGTAGCTGTTTTTTCCCTTTAAGCTGCCCCTTGAGGAGTACTTGGGTAACTTTGATAATCAAGTAATAAGGCAGTTTACGACTGAAGCCACCTAAGTGGTTTGCGGACCGTCAACCTCCGCCGAATTCTGATGTCTACAAGCGGTTCGGAGACAGCCCTATGTTTTTATAGTTTAAATGAATCTAGTTTCCCTTTAACACTGTCCAGAAAAGGTGTGGGTGCGCCCGGGTGCGCCTATTGAATTGGAGCTCAACTTTTGCAGTTGCCGCTCTGTTTCCCTTGAGAATGAGTGTTTTATCTTAAAAGCGTCGATGTCGAAACATGCATGAGGGTTCTCACTCGCTGAAAGTAAGCCGCATTCAATCCGAAGTGCGCAAGTGTGTACGTGTTTGCTCTTTATTCATTTTCTGTTTTTCTGTTTTGGGGCGGGGGGAGGGGGCTTGAATCAATTTTCCTGATGTGCTGACAGAGAGGTGCCCCCTTCAGGTTTCAAATTGTGGTTTCCTTGCCTACTACTGGACTAATTTTGCTTTCTGCCAGTGTCCAATGGATACGAAAGACGCAACCAGTCAGAATCACGGCTCCGCTTTTTCATGGCGAGTTGTTGAAAGTCAGCCGCGTAATTTAGTTTAGCTTGGAGTTGTCCTTGGGTCAATGTTCAAGATGTTGTCAGTTTTGTTCTCAAAGTCGATTTTGGTGCCTTGTCCCTGTTTTCTGCAAGGCAGCCAGGGGCGAAACTTCCGTTTTCAAAGCGCCAAGACATTGTTGTTCACTTCCATGACTCCAAGCGGCTCCAACCCTAGCTGCAGTAGATTCACTGGTCGACTTTCCGGTGCCGGATCGAGGACCTGATTGGCCCACCCAGCTGTTGCCCCGCCTGCTGCTACTCATGGATGGCTCCTTGACGAGCGGGTGCTAGACTTGGGTGGGTCACGGAACTGAAGCGGGGCGAACTCAGGGTTGAAATTACGGAAATGAGTGTGTCTGTGTGTACTTGGTTGGTTTTGTGGTCGTGTGGTCGTGCTGTTGAGTGGTTGCAGTTGTTTGCTTGTATGGTTGTAGGGTTTTGTGGTGGTTGTGTGTGGTGTGCAGAGTGGTGTGGTGCACTTGGTGCCTTGTGGTGTTGTATTGGAGTTTTTGTGTGTGCTCAAAGTATGGTTGTGGTTGTGTGTGTGTGTTTGCTTGCCTGCATTCCTGCTTGCCTGCTTGCCTGATTGCTTGCTTTACTTTCTTGCTTTGCTTGCTTGGCTCGGCTTGGCTTGGCTTGGCTTGGCTTGGCTTGCTTGCTTGCTTTCTTGCTTTTCTTTGCTTTGCTTTGCTGTGCTTTCTTGGCTTTGCTTTGCTTTCCTTGCTGGATTTGGAGTGGGGGATGTCACGGTTTCCAACCATCAAAAGATCACCACACCTCAAGGGCAGAAAGTTGGTTTTGTTTCCATTGTTTTTTCACCAAAGGGCCAGTTGTCCACCCTTGGCCGGGCTCATGTCATCAGAGTTGTTTGGGGCTTAAGTAGCTACGTTTTTCCCCCCATGAATGAAATGCATGTTGGAGCACTCGCTTGACCCTTTCGAGCCAAGGCGCCGACCTGCGTGTCAGCCCGAAGCCCAGCTTCACATTGGACGCGTGCTGCGTAAGGCAAACGAGCGGACTCGGGGTGTCCTTTATTTCCCTTTTTGGAGCCTAAAGTGGCTAAAGTGGCGATAGTTTCGAGGGACACCAGGAGGAATTGCATCCCCAACCGACAGCATCCCTGATCTGAGAGTGAGGCCGGCTTGAGGATGCTAGTGGGAGGGAGGGGGAGAAAAGGCCCAACCAAACCAACAAACGCAGTTAGATCAAGAGTTACGGACACTGCAAAGTAAGTCGTACTCATTCTATCTTAATCTTGCGTTTTGAAGCATTGGTCAAATTCTAGAAAGGGACTGAGAAAGGTTACACCTGACTGGCAAGCCTATCCTGACCAGACCCGCCTTGACGTCTTAAGGTCCTCACACGCGCCGTGTTTGTTGCTTCTTCCTTCGCACACGGGGGGCATGTCGCTGCCAACCGCCTCTCACACTACGCTCGAGCGTTCTTCTCTTCCTTGCTGCTCTGACATGGAATGCCCGCCTTCCACGCACCCCGATTTGCCAGGTGCACGAAGAAATTTGCGCAGGGTCTTCAGGTAAGGAGCTTGTCCCTTGTCAAAGTAGAGTGGCCACCTTCCAGGTTAGATGGGACCCGACTCGAGGCAGAGGTGTTGCCGGACCAAAGCTGAGGGAAATGCAGTGTGCTTACGCTAGAGAGTTAACCGGCTCAGTCCGTAGGTTATAACCGTGGTTAACCACGGTTGCAACCTACTAAGTGGATCAGGGTTGTGGGGAGGGGCTAGTTTGTACTTTTGTGATACCAGGGAATTCCTCTTCTTTGAGAATTCGTCGTGAGACATGGCTTTCCATTATTGCAATTCCCACCCTGTGGGTGCAAAAGAGGGCAAGCCAAAGCCAGTTGCAGCCATGGTTGCAACCTGCTTGCTCATTTGGTTTTAAGGGGGCTAACCCTAGTTACCCCCTTGTTTGCAACCATGGTGACCTCACCACCCTAACCATGGTCTTGACTTACGTGCTAAGCAGTTTTAGGAAAACTATCCCCAAGCACAACTACTTAAAGGGGCAGGTTACCTAGAAGGGGCAGGTTACGTAGTAAGCGGTTAGAAAGCCTAACCCACTTGCCATGGAGACAAGTCTCCCAAGTGGGTTATAACCAGGCTTACAAACCATTTACTAAGTACCCTACCCCTTTAAGTATGGCTACCTACTTCCGTGGATCGATTGCCCCTTGGCGGCCTGAGGTGCCGACAGTTATTGCCTCGTCTGTGGTGTGGTGCGCGCCTTCAACTGCGACACCATGCTCTGGGACTTTGCCCGCGACCAGCTGCGGCAATGGCAGGAGCCGAGCCGCTCCGAGCCGTTGGGAGCTGAACATGGGATAAAGACCACTCCCTGGTATTCCTTCGAAAAGGGCGGTAGCGCAGGGTCTTTAATATCGGCAAAAAAAAGAAGGAGGAGGGTTAGGGAAGGGGGACTGTTTGGGTGTAAACCCGCCTAGTATGTGAAAATCGAGGTTGCCAGGAAACTGTTCGTCCTACCAGGTGGCTACATCCAAATGGCCCTTGAAGCACAGTGCCAGGACACAGACACCTGGCTGGAGCTCGAGGTAGCCGCCTCCAACGCCGACGCTGTGGCTGCCGAGAACGGGGACGAGCCTGCGAGGCGAACGGAAGACGGGAAATGTAGTGCGGGGCAATGGGGACCCAGGATTGCTATACGGGTATGGGTCAAAATTAAACCACCAAAAATTGGACCGCAGGTTTTGGTCCATGTTTCCACTTACCAGGATTCCATTTCGGGTACATATTTTTGACCCACACCCAGCAGTTCTCAGGTATCGCTCGACCGGTTTAAAGGGTTCCAGCCTGGCGTGAGAGTAAACAGGGGCAGCGCCCCAGAATGCATGACATGCCAAGTGCCCCGCTGTACAGGCTGAAGCGGCAGACAGACGCGCAGATCGCTCGGCTTCGGGGCAAAGGCGACTACACCGAGTCTTGCCGTGGCGAGGCCCTTGGGCGGGGGGAGCTCAGGGCTGCACGTTGCACCATCATCGTTTGTGCGAAAATAACCAGCCCCTCCCAACCAAACTATGGGTGCATCCTGTCCGTTACATGCACTTGTCCCGGGTCCCAATCATGCTCACAAACTAGTCATAATTAGGGTAAAGAGCCCAACAAACAAACCGAAGACCGCCAACTGCAGAAGGTATTGACCCGAATTGACGACGTTCTAGGCTTTCAACAGTGACATATCTCACTTTACAGCTTGCTTAACAATGCACACCCATCCTCATCATAGACGTCTCCTAATCATGCACATCATTATTTCACTTGCAACCTGCAAGTCTGCAGTTAGCACAACACGTCTCCCGGCGAGTTTTCAGATATGCCTGGCGCTTGCATTTGGGTGAAAGCCTGTTTCACGCTTGCATGCTGAGAGAACAGGGGATTGAGCAACTGTCCCAGTGATGTTGTGTTCTTGGGAGCTTCATTGCTTTTAGGGCGGGGGAGGGGGGAAAAAGGGGCGGAGGGGCTGGCAAGCAAGTCGCCGGACCAGAAAACGGCCCCCTCGCGATCGCACGGAACCTCCGCGGAGGCAGTGCATGTGCTCAAGCTTGGACTGGTGATGTTCCTCACCAAGCGCAGTAAGGACGACCTGAGCCAGAGCTGGAAATCATTCCATTGCTCTAGGGGTACCTTCCATTTCCATTCTTTCTAGGGATCCTTCTTTCTAGAAAACCTCCCGGATTGCAGGGAAAACGGCGAGCGGTTGTTGAGAAAAGAAGGATGGTTGAAAAGAATGAGGAATCGACCCCTAGCATTGCATTGCACCCAGCACCCTCCATTTGTAGCCCTGTTTGATGTGGGACTGTTTTGGTTTAACTCTTGTTTCCCGTTTGACAACGCTCTCACAAGCAACTTGAAACGAAGGGCCATGTTGCCTTGATTCAGGTCAAGGCCTCATCTACTTGACAGGTGCTATACTGTGCTCTAAATGAAGAACATGTTTATTATCAAGAACCCTGCCGGAAGTATGTGATCAACCTTATACACGCTGTTTCAACTTGACCCGCGTAGGAAGCTCATTTGTAGTAGTCAGAAAGGCAGCGGGCCATTGGCCTAACGCCCACCTTCGGAAAGGGAGGGCTCGCTCGCTTTCGGCAACTCCTCACGCTGTCGAAGTCACCACCTGCCCGGGACGGGTAGGATTTCTTCAGTTGTACTTTCCCCATGCTTTGCAAAGCTACTTTTTGTGCGTAATGTTCGAGGCCCTCACGGAATTCAAAAAGTCTCGCAACAGAACGATAAGTGAGAGGAATTTTGACTTTTCTTGGGATGTATATGTAAAAGAACATCTTGATTTCTGCCACCTCACACTGTGTCAGGTGCTGCCACTTGCTCACTTGACTATCGTTTTCTGTGACTGGCTTCTTTGACAGTAGCTAACGGCAAACTGGACCCTGGGGCACGCCAGCGGATTGTTCAATGCGAGGGTCAACCTTGGCCTTTTTCCCAGGGCAATGCAAACGGCAACCTGACATCTCTCACAGTTGCCAGGACTTGTGCCGGGAGCTGGTGAACAAGGGCCTTACAGAGGCTCTTCTCATGTGCTGGGGCCTCAAAGGCCCTGTTTTGATGCATCGGACTGTCGGCTCGCCTCAAAAGTCCCAGCTTCGGGCCTTCGGCTCTTTTTTTGGGGGGTCCTGTTGGCATATTCTGGATTGCAACAAACAACTCACAACCATAGGCGTCCTTAGGTTAGTTTGGTTAGAAAAAGATGGGTTCCACTGGTTTAGATTGCGTTCATTCCATTTACGAGGGCCATCGTTTTTTTCCAGAAGGTCACCTATGCTCAATGCGAACTCGGCAGGATTTGCCGAGTTCGCTGTGTGTCAGATTCAGGGGAAAATTGGTCATGGCCATTGATGTATATAGGCTTGAGTGTGGGAGGATCCCCCGCCCAAGCAACGGGGTCGACTCCTGTTAAAGGATCCTTCCCTTCCCATTCACCCCGGATCATCCCCCCCCCCCTGCCCCTCTCGCCATTGTTGGCACAAATGTATGGAGGAGGCCCCCCACGTCCGAGTTGGATCTCTGCCAGGCCTCCTTGACGTGTCCAAGCCGATCAGACAGGCGCAGAAGTTCGCCAGTTCAGCTTTTGCCTTTGGGGCGGGAGCATCATGTATCCCAAGCAAGGGGGCGGTCTGCATGACAAAGCTGCGGGCTGCATGATTCATGGTCTGCATGCATGGCGGTTTCTGACTTGTAAATCATTACTAGGTCCCCCAGTAGTGCCCTTGTACACTTTTTGGGGGAGGGTTCCCCTGCTAAAATAGACTACAGAAAAAGGGGTACGTACCCTCATTCTAACCTCTCTCTGCGAGTTTTGTGAGGGTCCCAGTCCAACTGTGCAGACAAAAGCTGGCTTGCTGGCAGTGAAGTTTGGAACTTTTCGATGGAAGTTTTGCATTGGTCAGATGCAGAAGCATGTTAATGAGAGCCATGATTGACAAACCCTCCCACCAGTTCATGATATTCTGAGCACCGCCCTCTCGCCCAAAAAGTTACTCGGAGCTCTCATGGGGCGATGCAGTTCCCATGCTTGCTTGCAAGCCTCGCAAGCAAGCCACCTACTGCGGTGAAGTACAGGGATGGGCCTTTCCGCTTGCTTGGCCAGGATCAGGTATAAACAACACCCCCATTGGACACATGAAGGTCACGAGGATTGGCATGGCCCCCCAATCCTGAGAGCCAATCATTGAATCACGGCACTTGTTTCCTTGGCAGGCCACGGCGAGAAAGCCACAGCAGCCGTTCCAACGGTCCTCTTGGTAAACAAACATGACCTTAGTCTTCGAATCGGTTGAAGTGGTATGGCCACCTGAAAGAGTAGTTTTTTCCCTTTTCACCCAGCTGTTCAGTGATCAGTGGCACCCTGTTTCCCTTTTGGTTTGGTGGGTCCTGGTTCCTGTTGCCTACCTTTCAGTCACTGGTTGCAACTGGGTCACGTTCTGCCAAGCTGAAGGAGGGTGTCCTGGATGCTGAATAGCTTCCTTTTTTTTACCCAAAGGGAGTCAAAAGGGCACTTGTTGCTTTTGACTTTTTCCAGACCCCTTATTTAGGACCCAGTGTCAGCATGGCTGGTCTTTGGCACCTTGGCCCCGCGGAACTCTTCCCTTTTGGAAGCAACTTTGGCTTTTCCATGACACCTACAAAAGCTTAGAATCTTTGATCAGGCTGGAAGAGCAACTCGGTCGGATGATGGAATCCTCAAGGGGGGTAGGCACAAGGTAGTTGAGAGCTCCAGGGTTCCTGACAGGGTTCCTCTCACGCTTTCAGGGAGCCTTGCCCCCCTCCCCCCTCCCTAGACCCCCGCCTAGGCCTCGAAGCTTCCATCAAAAGAAACGCCATCTGACGCGCCCAGGCAGCCGCCATCACGGAGGTCCACGCCCTGCAGCTGCTGTCCCCTAAAGCGCGGGAGATCGTGGCCTCGATCCTGGTGAAGCGTGGCTCGGCTCGGCACGCCTCCGAGAGACCGGCAAAGGGGTTTAGGGAAAACTTCCAATTTGCTGAAAAGCATTTTGGTGGTAGTTTTCCCTGTGGGGTTTGAAGGGGATCTATCGCTACTGGAAATGTTTTTGTTTTTTCCCTCCCAGAGAGCTTGCAGTAAGAAATCCCGAAATCTTTCTGCTAGAGATCACTGACATTGGCGTTGGACAAATGCCCCCCGAGAAAAGCAATTACACGAATAAAACGTCCCCAGGGCTTGAATGTTTGATTGGAGCCCCCGTGGGTTTCCAAAACAAGCGGCAGCACAAAACAAAGTCGAGGCCTTACACATCTCCAGCAGCTTTGATGTTCGAGGCTAGCACGTGCCATTCCAGTTGAGCGCCCATGCAATTTGTGCCGACTGACTGGGACCATCCCGGGAACGGTTGTTTGGTTTCGGTAAACCTAGCCAACGTACAACTGAACCCGCTTTCGCCACATGTCCATTGAAACTTGGTTGATCCATGGCATTGAGACCCATGTCAGGGCCTTTGAAAGCGATTTGCCGCATCGTTGCATTTGGGGCGTCACTTCTTGAATGTCAATTCCCCCATCATCCGCCATCCTCGTTTTTGACAAGCTCTAGGGAGGGAACAAACCCGTTAAAATTCTCAGCCACCGGCCCCAGCCATCATCACCACTATCATCGTCATCATCACCATCATCATCGTCGTCGTCGTCGTCGTCGTGTGCGCCACAAAGGGAGAGGCGTTAGGTACATTTACCCGATTAGTGACAGAGCAAAAGGACGCCTGTGCGCACGGGAGCAATTCGCGATGGCCTTCCCCGAGACCAACGCCGGCCCCAAAAACATGTCCAGTGTTTCCTTCAAGATCCTTTAGGCTAGCGAGCGCGACCGTTCCCACCACTCAAGGCCCAGGGTTGCCCAGGTCCTTTCCATTGAAGAGTTGCCGCCTGCAACCTCAGCCATCGCCTAATTGATTTCAGTCTATGTTTGAACTGGCAATCCAACATAGTCCGCATCGTTTAGCATATCGGTGTTCAGACTCCTCGACTCCGCCTTCCGTCGACCCCCTTCCTGCGTCGCAGCACCTGACAGAGGGGTCCCTTCAAGAAGTTTATGTTCTCCAATAGATGCCTTCGCTCAAAAGGGGTCGCCTGCCTGGCGTGGGGCCCAGTGCCCTCCAGAGCCGGCGTCCGGCATCCCACTTCCCCAGAAATAGCTCCCCCTTTGTTTTTTGGGGGGGAGTTCCTTTGTTTTCCACTAACCCGGCAAAAAAGATACCCTCCCTCAGACTAACATGGAATCTCCCAGAAGGCCTCTGCAAATGGAACCAAGTCTTCCAAAAGGGGTCCTGAGTGTGGGAGGAAGTAGCCATTTGCTTGATGGCTAGTACTTGATGGCTATTTGCTTGGATCTTTGGACTTAGCTTTTTGGGAAACAGGTCGGTTGTAAACTTTTTGCAGCCTCGCCCAGGGGAGATGCGGCGGGCGCTCACCGCGGAGCAGTTCTCCGCCGCCGGGCGGCCCGAGGACTTTGCGCGGGCGCGGCTGCGGCTGCGCCAGCTCCGCCGAGGCGAGGAGCGAGGAGGTTTTGGTGGGGCGGCGGCTTCCATTTGCTTAAAATATGTTTTGATTTTTCCCTTGCTCATGTTGTTCTGTTTTTTCTCCCCTTCTTGGTTTTCAAAAGAAATGTATCACTACTGGACATATTTTTCCGGGCTTCTTCACCAAATGGAAGGCGGGGAATCCCTGAGGTCGACATGGGCGTTGGAAGCAAGATGGTGGGAGTTCCCGTGGGTTCTCTTAAAAGAAACAACTAAGGGTGCCCGCCAAACAGGATGTGTGCCAGTTGGTAGGTGGCTAGTGTTTAGAGTGTCATCCCAGGTGTGGATGTTGCCACAGTCGCACATATGGAAGGGTATCTGACGACGCCCTCTCAAGTGTCCTGCCCGTGGGAGGGAGGGCATGTCTCAAAAGCCTACTCAGCGCTTGGCTTGTGTTTTTTTTTTGGGCGGGGGGAAACGCAGCCATGTTTTAAGGCTCCTCCATTCACCCCGCCCCCTCCCCCCCACATTGAACCCTTCCAAGATGATGAAGCCATCCATCAGGAAAGCATTACTTTTTGGAACTAGTTTGCACCTTGAAGCCTGGTCTGGCAGGTGTTCTTGGCAATGTCGGCACCAACTCCGCAGATGAGCACGATCTTCATCAGTGCGGGTCCCCTGAAACCTGGGTGGGGCTTTGTGCACTGGGCCGGTCTTAGTATAACTTGGGGCAGCTGGGATGCAAAATGTTTGAAACCGCGCAGTGGAAGGATCGATCGTTGGCTTGGTGTCCTTCTGCCCCTGCCTTTGGCAACTTTCCACCCGCCACCCCCGAGAGGAAACTCAAGTGTGCAAAGAGGGAGGGGCTGATTGAAGGGTTTTGCCGGTGTTTATCCATGTTTGCCCACGCTTCCAAAGGTTTTCGTGGCGACTTGAGCCAAGCTTAGTCTTATATGTTTAGGTCCCTGGGCTGACATTGCCAGGTCTTAGCGGCATACCACCAATAAAGGTACAAGGGAGGGAACCAGCATACTGATGCCCGATTTTACATGGGTTCCCTACCTGGGGTTGGCTCTGAACATGAAGAATCTGAAGTGGAACTTGGCCACATCCACCTGCACAGGGCCAATTTGCGGGATGTGAGTTTGGCAGGAGGCAATGGACAAATCAGATTTCCAATCGGGATGTGAAAAGGCTCTGTGATTTGGGCTGGATCCTTCTCCATGCGTAGTTCCCTTGTACCCTCAAAGGTTGACGGAATCTTTTTTGGCGTACCCCGCGTCCCCGCGTTGGGCCGAGCAACATCGTGAACATCCACTGACAACCAGTTGGGACTGGTGTGGCTTGTCCCCGTATTGTTCTTCATATTCAGAGCCAACCTCAAGAAGGGAACCAACCTGAAATCATGATTCTTCATATTCAGAGCCAATCTCAGGTAGGGAATCCAACGTTTTCAGCCCAAGCTGGCGGTCGCCAATTTTCTCACCAAAGGTGGCAACAAGACACCCCTAAACAGGGCTCCTTAAAAGACACATTTTCCCCTTTGAAACGTGGCTTTTCCCACCAAAATACAGGGAAACCACAATTTACAAGGCAATGCCCAGGTGTAAAATGCATCCGGATCCCTGCGAAGCGAACGAAGGAGCCGGCTCGAGGCGGATCCTGGAGCACCGCATGGCGGACCTCCTCGGGCCGGAGGCGACTTCGGCGGCCTTCCTCACCGAGGGCCCGCAGGCCGAGGAAGCCGAGGACACGGAGGAGGCGGCGGGTTTGTGCGGAGTCACCGGGGGGCGACACTAAGTCTCCATGGGGAGGGGCCATGCGCACAGCCTTACCTCAGCTTTATCCAAGACTCGATTTTATGCGTGGTAGGTTGAATATGTTGCTTCAGAACCTGAATAGAGTTGCTCTGTCTTTGCGCGCCCGAGATGGGCCAAGTGTCAACCTTTGATTCCGGAGGCCATGCATTTCCCCTTGAAATGTGGGAATTCATGCATTTCGCGGCGTGGAAGCCGCTGATGCTTATGGTCTTCATGTACATCCCTTTGGTGGGCTGCCGACATGATCAAGACCAAAATGGGGGCGGGGGGGTTCCCTGTTTCTACCGCGTCCTCCCCGTCAAACGGGTTGTGGAAAGTTGACGTGGAGGACTTAGAGCGACGAAGTCATAGGAATCAGTTACTTTTGGTATTGCAGGACGGGTGTTCGTCCTTTATATGTTACACGTGTGTCCGTGCATGTGTGGACTCAAGTGCGCATAGTAGCTGCGCAGGACGCGCAGATGCACATACCTTGGAAGCCTCTCCAAGCATTACCACTTGCAGGGCTTTGGGGTTTGCTTTTGGGGGGGCTTGGAAACTCGCTTGAACTCAGGGCCTAGCGGCTTCCGAACCCGAAAGGATGAAGCAGGTGCTTTTCAACAAGGGGAATGTTGTCGAAGGTCTTAAGTCTTGATCCACAATCTGGTGGCAGATTGAGCCGCCTAGAATTTTCACGTACAGGTGAGGCAGCGTTTCAAGTGGAGTCAAAGTGACCCACACACCATGGCAAAACCAAGCCTGCCTGCCTGCTCCAACAGCCCACACCTCGTGCTGTAGCGGGCGTTCCCTCGCTCAATGAAGCCTTCAAGTTGGTTTGTTGGGGTCTCGGGCCCCGTATGCAAGGGCTTGGCTTACACCCTCTGCTTAATTTGCTGAAGGGAACCGCAGCATAACTGGGGTCCCAGCTACCCCGCAGCGAGGAGTCCTTAGGTGCTTCTTCTTGGTGGTTCCCAGCCATCCCCTTAGCTTTTTAGGCTTTTAGACCGCCCAGTCTTGAATCGAGAAGGAAGAAGTGGCATGCCGAGTGTTCCACCCGCGCCCAATCGGGCGGAGCTGGCTTCAGGTGTCGCGCTCGGATGGCTACGGGGTGCACCGCGTGCCAGCCAGGGGCTCGGTGAGGCAGCTGGAGGTGGGTTGTTGAGGCGACAAGGGGCCCATGTCGGCCTCCTTTACACATTCCGCCAACAGGAGGCTGAGAATACACAGGCGTTGAGACACTTCTCAACAGGGGTTGGTTGGGTAGCCTTCAACAAATGGCTGAGGCGGGCAAGCGGACCACTTGGATGCAGGTTTGCGCTGGCTTCGCCTGCGCAAGCCTGGGCCCGCATGACCTAACACCTAGCTTTGAGAGCAGGCCGGAAGTTGATAACCAATTCCCTTCCAACAAGCACGGAAGTAGGCAGAGCGCAATTTGCAAATGGTGCACAACTTGAGTAGCCGTAAGGTCGGATAGCAACCCCCGCCCACCCCTACGCGATGAATTCCCGTACCTTTGGTGAGCTTGATGGGGTTAACGCGGATTGGCCCCACCTCCTTCTCAGGTTTCCACTACCCCAAGAAACTACTCTCAGGGGCCCAATGGGATATGAAGCAGGGAACCAACGAAGACTTAGACTTTGGTGACTTCGATGAGCTTGAGTTTGAGTGCTCAATGTTTTCGGTTTTGCAGTGATTGTCCTGGACCTGTTTTTGAACCCTGGTACTGTGGGTGGACGAAAGCCTGCACCACTTTGAAACCATGGTTAAAACCGTGTTTTGTTGGTATGTACCGGGGAGGCATCATTCCAGGGTTTCTCAGGTGGTGCGAAACGGATTTCGCAACCATCCACAGTATCACTCCGTTTCCTCGGTAAGAGCTACAGGATCCGCCTCCTCGCTAGGTGGGCTCCGCGACTGGCGTCGTCTCCGAATCTGCCGTGGCGCGGGGGTGCGCCACCGATTCATTCGGCGCCGCAGTCGGGTGCTGTCCGCACGGACGGTGACGTCTGCTGCGTTACAGGGGAACCCTAAACAGGGGTGTTTTATATATGGTGCCCCCTTGAACAAATCCAAAAACATGTTCCAGTATAACAAGCTTAAACTTTGTGTGGCCAGCATGTATAGGGATACTAAGCATGTACACGGACTTGTTAAGCCCATGGTCAGCATTTGTTGAATGACTGTATTCTGTCCAAAGATTTCGAGTGCTTGGAGGGCGTTAAATTACATGTTTGCGGGAAACACCTGCCCCACGCTTTCGCGGTGGGGCTTTTCTCCTTGAGGCGCCTTGCCAGCCAGTTGTTGCAATTTGGGCTCCATGAGTCAAGTCAAGAAACCTCACCATGAGGTATCATTGCTTTTCTCAGCTGGGGGTCCTTATGCCTCTTCTTCTTGGAGGTTTGATAAACTTTGGCTGGTTCCCTAAACCGCCGACGGCGGAAGATGATATTTAGGAAATCCAACGCCACCATGACTTCACTATTGGACAATCGAGGGACTGTCAGTAGCAGGGGGGGGACAGAATATGATATGGGGAAGGTTTTCCTTGAACACCACACCAAAAAAGGCACGTAGCCTCAAAGAAGGACGCACCCACGTCGGGTGCCACACCGTGCCCATGAATCCCAAAAAATTGAACCGAAGGCTCCTGCGCGGGACTGGCGGCCAACGTCGTGGGCTGGCTGGCTGCTGTGTGACGAACCCTCACTTCTGTATGAGCAAAAGGGGGCCGTCTGGGCAGTACAAGGTCTTGGAACAACAACAAATAGGCGCCATGATCGCAGTCATCGTCGTCTTCGTTGTCGTCATCATCGTCCTCCGCATCACCATCACCATTTGGTAAATTACCACCCCATTACCACCACCACTGCCACCGCCACCGCCACCACCACCACCACCGACATCGACACCGTCATCATCATCGTCATCCTCCTCGTCGTCATCATGAGGGATGCCCCAAATGACACGAGGCTTTTGAATTCAGGGTTCTTTGCCTCCATCCAGCCGGTTTTTACCTGAACTGGGTGAGGGCCTACCCGTGCAACATGGAATGAACCAATGTTGATGAAGGACCTTCTTCAGGATTGCCCTTTCAACATCACACGAAAGAGACACTCACTATCACTCACTCACCGGTCATTGCACGAATTTCAACCGAAGCACAGCCCCAGCTGTTCTCCTTTTTTTTGAGGCAGCTGCCTTGTTCCACCGAATAGTTGAAGCAAGGTACGACCTGGAGCATACCGCCCAGGATGCCATCCAAGAGCCAGCCGTCTTAGCGGCGGGGGGCCCCACCTCGGATTTTCCATAGACATCCGGGGCTGGGCTAGAACCACAATTAAAGCCCACTGATTTAGAGGGTACGCCCAGGGCCTAATTGTAGAGTTGTGGGCTGCACGCCGGCTTTTGCTTCATGAGCTGGTGGTACAGGGCGCTAGGCATGTCCCCAGGAAGAAGAGTCTTCGCCGATGTCCCAAGAACCAGTTGATCCGTGTTCCCAGTTTGTGCTTCTGGTTGCGGGACTCAGGGCGTGTTGCAATCGCAGGCTGGAGAGCAGCAGCTGTTGTCCGTTGAAGGCGTCACCGTTGTGTTTGAATGACACGCGCGCATGGAGCGGGAACAGCTTGTGCAATCGTCAAAGGGCCCGTCCCAAGTGTCAAGGGAGGCAGCCAGCAAAGCTGCGGCCACAGACTCAATCACAGGACAGACAACTCAAGAAAGGATCAGTCCAGTTTACCTGGGTCCGTGTCCTGCATACGAATCTGTTTGTTTGTTTGTGTGTGCTTATCGTTTGACTCATTTGCAAATGCCGTTCATTTTTGCACGGGCTCAAAGATACTTGGGTGCATGAAGGTTGTCAGACAGCAAGAGGTTCCTTCCAATGCTTGGTTCCTGTCCTGCTCCGCTGAGAAATCAGGGCTTGGGGAAGTGGGGGGTTCTCAGGCCACCTTCGGACAAAGTAGTCGCAAGGATGGTTCTCTTTGACATCACAGAGAGGAAGGAGACAAAAGAATGTCCACAACCGTAGAGACGGCATTCAACATATGCTTGGCCCAAGGTACGTGATGGGGGTGGGTTGTACAACTCCATATTATCTTGGAGTTGATTGTGTTGGTCCTCTGGTTTCCTTACAAGGCCTTACCACCAGTTTGTGGGCAAGGTCTAGCATTTCTTTGCGTAGTTTTGCCGCTGTCGTTTGAATCCGCTTCCTTCGTGGAGCCGCCCTCGCCCGCTTCCCGCTGTCTTCTCCCTGCTTTTATGCGTTCCGTTTTTTTTTCAAAACCCGAGGCGCTGCGGAACGTGCTCTCGGAACCCTTGACCCTGGAGTCGGCCAAGCAGAGCGCCTTGCTCCAGGAAGTGGAGAGCCTTTGCCTCAGCGCCAGGCGCGATCGGCTGGACCCGGATCCAGGACCCACGTGCCCATTTTGGTTCGGGGATATATGATATTGTGGATGGATGAAATCCTACACCACTTTGAAACCATGGGAAACCATTCTTTGTTTGTATTTACAGGGAAATCATCATTCCAGGGTTTCTTAGATGGTGCAGGATTGCGTCCATCCACAGTAGCGACCCAGGCCTCACGTTTTCACGACCCCTAAATATATAAGGAAACCCGAGGTGCCAGCCCTTGCGTTTTGGGGCAGTCTTCCGGTAGTCTTCCGGAACGTTTGGCCCAAGTTGTGGTGAAGTAATTGGCGTTCCAGTTAAGAATCCTTCACTTTGGGCGGGAACATCCACCATCCAGCAAGTCGAAGTGAGCCCCGAACAATTACAATCACTGGGCCTGTCCGCCCATGTCCCCTATTTGGGAGTAGAAGTTTCTCGTCAGGGGAGGCCGTTATTTACTCAAGAAGGCGGCCTTCTCAAGAACGCTGCATGGACAAAGCAAACCCTTGGGTGAGTGATCCAACACTCGGCAGCTGTCTTCCAGCAACCCCGTGCAAGTTTCAGGGACTCAGAACGCTGCTGCACAATGTCACGGCACCGGGCAAAGACCACAACAACTTTGTTTAAGACCCTGCCGCAGCTCATGCTCCCACCTGACAGGTGTTTCTCTTGTGCGCAAGTTCTGAAAGGGGTAGCCAGGGGCCTTCCCCAGATCGCCAGGTCAACACTACTCCCCTCTAAGATGGACACTGACCAGGGCGTTTTGAAAGACCGCCATTTATGAACCAGGGCACTTTTGTCAACTTCAAACATGGTGGTTGCATTCGTTTGGTGAAATTGGGTTGCGGTCCCGCGGTTGTTCAAACTCAATACGGTGTCCCAATGGGCCCCAGTCCCTTGGTGCACTCACTTCGGCCACTTCCAAAATCGTTTTACAGGAACACCTGGCAAAAAGCAGGTTGTTATTGGATGCGTTTCAGGAACCCTGAAAACCTTGAAACCCTCAAGTTTAGATTTTGAGATAGTTCTTTGTGGCTTTCTTAGATGTCCAAACTGTCAGGTGTCCCTTGGTTGGTCTTTTGGGTTAGGTTAGTCTTTGGGGGTTTGAACCCCCGGCTCTTGGGTGAATGGGGAGAAAACCACCTGCAAAGCCAAGAACCGAGAGGGAAGTAATATGTATTTCTCATCTGTCATTTCCTTTATCATTCATTGTCTTTATTAGAATAGACACGTGAATTAGAGAGATGAAAGAGAAAAGAAAGGAAAAGAAATGACAGAGATAAAAGGCTTGAATTATTATAGGATTTCACTTATAGATCCATTTCCCTACCACCTATCACCTGTTGAAGAGAACTGACATGAGGACCAACAAAGAAGAAAGGAAATGGGAGATAATGGATGAGAGAAGATGAGATGAATGGAGACACTTCTTTCTGGTCTATTGGTCACCCATCATTATCCACATCTCACTTCGTTTGTAATCCTATGTTAATTCCTAATCTTGAAGAGCTACAGGAAAGCAAATTAAAAATACAAAAAACCAAATAAAATAAATATTAAACATATAAATGAAAAGATATCCCGGAACACCTCCAAACCACCGGGCTCTGAACCATTTAACACCTTGATTCCTTTTTAGGCCCCGGTGCCCAAGAGAAAAAAGGTGGCTTTCCTTGTGGCCCCCCTTAGAAAAACCGCACAGAAAGGGGTACCGACTCCAAAAAGACACTGCCATGTATCCGTTTGTTTCTCTATCTCCAAATTGCAACCGAGTCAATCAAAGGTAGGTTAGGGATAACCCCAAGCATAAACATGGTAACACGGATACGAGGACAGCGTTTGCGCCGCAAAATGTGTTTCTTTTCAGCCGCCTCATTTTTGCACTCCTTCTTGCATCCGCGAGCGACCATGCAGCATAACAAAGAAAACAATCCCCCCCCCCAACCCTCGCAGGGCCGACCTGGGACAGGAGCCTGTTTGCCTTCGGGCAACCAACCAATCACCCCCCCCCCTGTGTTTGATTTACATGTTGATATCCATGCAACCGTTTGGTTCAAGGCCCCTCTTCTACTCTTTGTTGCCACTGTACATACCATACACGTACAGGCAGAGAAAAGGGATTACTTGCGGACCGCTTTACAGGCTATGCCCACAAGACAACCCTACCAGGGACTTCCAGACACACTCCATTTACCATTGACAGAGTGATCATCGTGTGGAATAGTACAATAAACCATTACCACAAGGTACCTGTTCCTCCGCAATAAGGTACCCTGGTTTGGGCCTCACCCCCACCCGCAGCAAAATGTGAAAACCTCCCCAGGGCCCGAAGATCCGTGTCGCCATAAACATGGGTGCCTTCGCCGCCTGTTGGGTCTTTGCCATGGTAGGAGCCCAAAGAAGCCCTTATTTAGCCCTTAGTAATGGCTCCCTCCCTCATGAGTTTGAATATCCGGGTGTTGATTCGGACTTCCTGGTTCCCTTCAGACGCCCTCCTACGAGCCGGTGCCCGCCTGCCCGCCAGGCGAGCCCCGCAGATCCAGGCGCAGGTGTCGGCCACAGCGCAGCGGCAGCGGCGACTCTCTGTGCTGAAGGCGAATCCATACGTGGCGCTTTGCGCATGTTCCTCGCCAACGGCCATAGGTGTCCGTAGGTTTGGTTAGACATAGGTGGGTGTGGCTCAAAATTAAACAGGAGGGGTTACGCAGGTTTTGGTTCATGTTTCCACGAAACAGTGGGTTTGACTGGCTTAAGTTAAACGAGTTTCATTCCTTTTGGCCAGGCCTTTATTTTACTAGCAGGACACCTACTGTGGATGGACGAAATCCTGCACCAGCTAAGAAACCCTAGAATATGATCCCCTGTAAATACCAACAAACAATGGTTTTCAATGGTGCCTTGGGTGGTGCAGGATTTTGTCCATCCACAGTATGGCAGTGGTTTCCTCTTGGCTTTCCCCTAAGAAACTTCACCGATGTTGGCTAGTGTTTTAGTCTTTTGGTTTGTTGTTTCTGTTCATTCTCGATGGGGGGCTGCAACAACAACGTTTTATGCTACCATACCGTGGGTTGTAGAGAACAAGTTGCAAGGCTACCTTTGCCGTGGACCCACCAGACGTTCCCTTCAAAAGTAGAGTAGTCTTCCAGGACCCTTCAGTCAGGTTCCATGTTGCCCTCAAAAAGACGAGCCACCCATATGTAATTGTTCCCCGTCCAGTTTAAAAAACAATAAAATCAAGCGACGTCAGCAAATGTATGACAAGTTCACCAGGGTGGCTTCTCCTTTAGCCCAACGCCAAAAAAGTGCGCGCTTGAAAAACACACCCAAGGGCGTGAGTCTCAATTCGGTGGGGATATGTCCACCAACCACTTTGGAGGTGGTTCCCTATTGATTTTTAATCGCCACCCTGAAGCTGGGGCTTTCTGCAAGATTGCAGTTTGGTGAAATTTGGTGAAAGTCAGCGGCACCATTCCATCATTTTGGCTTGGTCATTCCCTTTACCTGCTGTGGATGGGCGAAATTTGCACCACCTAAGAAGCCCGGAATGGCATGTCCCTTGTAAATTCCAACCAACACTGGTTTGCCACGGTTGCAAAGTGGTGCCACAACACCTTCGGAAATGAGCGTCTGTGTGTGTGTGTCATCTAGTCTCACCCTGGTGTACTTGTAGCTGGGGTCTTCTCCATTATTGAAAGTATGGAGCAGGGTGGGTAAAACGAGGCCCATGCTGAAGGTCTCAACGAATCCCTTTTTCCAGACGACCTCAGATGGTTTTGGAGGACACACATTCCCTAAGTCACACATTCCCCCCCCCCCCGGCGATTAAAATTCAAGCGCGCACCTTTTTGGCGTTGGGCTTTAGGAAAAGCAAAGGAGAAGCCACCCCTCGTGAACTTATCATACATTTGCTTAAGTCCCCATTTGGGACAACGTAAACTAGGCCCAGTTGAATCAACCAACAGAAGGCACTTGTTCCTTTTTTGTTCAGTTTTTTGTCTGTGTGTGTCACTTTTAAAGTGGGTGGCCCTGTAAAAGTCAAGCTGTAAATGGGTCTGTTCAAGGGGTGGCCACCCTACCGTGTCCTGTTTTTGAGTGCATGTCCCATTGAATTCAACGAAGAAAGGGCCGATGGAGGCCGATGTCTTCATATCGACCAAACCCGTTTCGACTGCGGGCCAGTTGCTGTTGTTTGCGTCTACGGTTCCCGTAGTCGCTTTGTGTCACTCGTTGTGTGTACTGTGTATATTTTGTCTGTGTGTGAGTGTCCGTGTGTGTGTGTGTGCCCCACTTCTCTGATGTTTTATCCATCAACGTCTTGATGCTTGTACGCCTTTCTAAATCAAGCCTAAGCAAGGCAAAATCACACGCATATGGACAAATATGTGGATATAGAAATGCATGTGCATTTATATACGACACCCACTATGATCGCATTGAACCTCACCCTCATGGGAGGCCTCACACCATGCCTCAGCCCAACACCGGCGCGCTCTAGCACTGCGACTGGCCGGGCCGAAGGCATGGGAAACGGGGTGGGGGTGGAAGCTCCCCTCTTTCTTTTTTTTTTGTGGGTGGGGGGGGCGGGGGAGGGGAAACTCCTTTGATCCACGAATTCGAGAATACGTATTTCTGTTTGCGACAATCATGGAAGCGGAGAGTGGCTTGCTCAACATCAAGCCTCCTGGCGTTACTGCCCATTGCAGGGTGCAGGTTAGGATTGGGGGGTCTATTTTGAACAACCACAGGGGAAATCAGGTTGCAAGGAAGCTTCTTCTGCAACCAAGTCATCATGGCCCACCTTGGTGTCAGAGAACGGGATGTTGTCCAAATCATGAGGGCGGGGGCGAGGGTCCGCCAGAGTTTGGTTCAAAGGCCAGTGGTTTTGGTTTGTGCCGACCCGGTGTGTCCTTCAGATTGTGGTCCACGCGGGCTCTCCAAAAGTCCATGCTTGTGATTTGGTCTTGGAATTCCACTCCCGTCCACTAACATGACACCCGACCCAGGGGTCCTATTAGACTACTTCCCTTTCAAGGGACCCTCTGGTTAAATGGCAAAGCGGAGAGGAGGGCAATTTCCTCACCCAAAAATCCAAATACCATTCCATACCCAAAAAGGGTGCCCTCAACGAAAAGTGTTCTGCACGGTGCTAGGGTTGGACTCGAGCCTCCACAAGAAGGCGGATTGTGCGCACCAGCCGCCGCAAGACAATTAACAACATGTCTCCGTGAACACGGAAACAAAAGACAACAAAGATCGACACAGTTGTTTTGTTCCGCTTCTTTTTTAAACGGCTTGTTTTAAAGAGCAGGGGGCCAAACCACCAAAAAGACGAACCAAAGCCCAACCGGAAGGCCCAACCACGGAAAGACCCCAAGACCCGTCCGCGTCGGCAGGCCAGGGCCTTCCCGGACTTTGCGGATGGAGCCTCGGAGACCTCGGAGGCCACGAGCCTGGTGTGCGTGGCCGAGGCGCGGGCGGGGCTGTGCGTGGTCGGGCTGGCCATGGCTGGAGTGGGTCACTATGGGGGTTTCTCAAAACGCACCCTCTTTTCAAAAATGGCTGCTATCTACAGGGGAGGAGGAAACCGAGCAAGGGGCCGCCAAGTTTTTCGAAGCCCCGCATGTTTATTCATCGGATCAACCACAAAGATTGTTTTAGAAGATATGCTAGCCAGAATGAATGACATGTGGGTCTGCCTTTTTGTGAGGGTGCCCTCTTTTCCTTGGCTTAAGACGGAAAACCAAAAGGACAATCATATTTTTCTGGCTTTTCTCCTGGCACAACTCTGACTAGCGGGCCTTCCACTGACACCCTGCACTGTAACATGCGCTTAGGGTTTAGGTTGTCCCAATATGTCCCAATCACACGATGCTCGCGATGCTCGCGAAGCTTTCCCTTGCCATGATACGTCTAGCATGTCCACCGAGCTGGTCTTCCACGGACACTGCACACCCAGCTTTTTTTTCGAGCCAAGTCCTTGGTTTGGGTGGGTGTTTTGGCCAGGCCAAGGACACCAATGCCATGGCACGGGCCGCGCAGAATGTGGGCTGGGAGCCGGGCCCTTGGAGCGGCGTTCCTATGACATGCTGGGTCCCCCAGCTAGGTGCCCTTTCTCACCTTTTTTTGGGTTGGGAGGGTTCCCCTACTAAAACAGACTACAGAAAAAGTTGGTACCCGTATTCTAAACTCTCTACTGGAGGACCTAGACATGCTGGGTGCTTCACTTGCGATCGCTGTGACAGGTAGGGAATGTGGTTGAATGAACCTAGGAATTGGTCCCGTACATTGATTCCAATTCTCATTCCTGGTCCATTTTTAGCCATGGCTTGAAAGGCTTATTTCTGGATCCTTTGGGCAACTGAGCGTTGGGTAGGGGGGTCCAAAGACCAAATGGGTGCCCTTGTTGTTCCTCTGGTGACTGGGGGCCTGCTAAGAATGGCCGTAAGTTTTAGTTGTCCAGGCAAAGCAAAACGGGACGGGTAATCTCAAGCTTTATCTAGACCTTTGTTTACTGCGCATGGCTTGTTGCACAGGAACCCTTTCCAAAAAGGTTTCCTTTCAAAAGTCTGCGCGCCAAAGCGTTGCAGGAAAGCAACTGAAAAGGAAGCAGGGCGTCAGGTATGGCGAACAGGCCGGCCTTGCCGGCTGCTTCACTGCATGGTCGCAAGACAAAGAGCACTTGGCTGCCTGGATGGCTATTCCCCTACAGTTTGACATTCCTCTAAAGATGGGTGGGTTTTGGCTTGAAGGAGATGAAGGTACCCTACTGCCCCCCTTAGCTTAGATTGGTGACAAATCGGAGTTGGTGCAGGCTATCATCCGCTTTTGGTGTGTTTGGTAGTGCTTTGACTCTTGCATGCTTCGCCTTGCTCAGCAGCGCTGTGTTTCGCATGTCCTGCCGGTGAGGACCGATTCTGCCACAAGTTTTGCGCACTTTGTCCTTCAGTGTGTTCTCGTAACATGACCTGGCATGTGCAGGTCTCTTTTCCACTACCTGCATCCACCATTGCAACGGCTCCATTTATATGGTGCCGGTTTCTGGTTCTGCTGCTTTCGTCCCCGTCACTTCTATAGGACAACACCTCATGACGACTGACCAAGTCTGAATCGTTGGGCGAAGGGGTGTGCTCGTTGAACAGGAGGCTTCCAAGCCTCTGCTTGCTGTTGGTTCTCTGCGATTTGTGGCTTAGGCGTTTTCTGGGTTGCTTGACTCACGGGGAGTGGCCAAGGCATTTGCCTCATGTCCTCCCCTCCCACTTGAACAATCTAAATGTTTGCCGTTTGGTTCAAATCCCTGCAGGATTCGAAAACGAACATGCGATACCGATCCTGGGATTCCTGCAGGTTCCGTTACTTCGATTCATGGGTTCTATCCTTCCATGGGTTCCAAACCTCAACCACGAGGGTGGAAACTTCCTGTTGGGTCCTCGTGTTTGTTTTTTGTTGGCTCAGGCGTGCGTCCTCCAAGACGCGCAAGGCCAAGGCTCACAGGGCTGGGACTTGGTACCATCCTGTTGGGGGAGAGGCTTGCGGTTTGCCAGGCGAAGATTGGCCGGCATGCCTCCTGACGCAGGTAAGTAGCTTCATAGTTTCACTTGACTTCTTGCCTAAATTGCCTGGCTGTTCCGGGTCATTACTTGCCTTGGGGATTGTGAATTGCCGGATGGTTCGGACATCACGCCGACAATTCGCGTTCCACAAAAGCAGGCTCATTTGCGCATTAATTTTCTGAATCCGCCCCATGCCGTTTTTTCCTAAGACTTGCGGCGGAAAGTGGGTTTGTTCGCTCGTAGGTGCCTGGGAACCTTGGCGACAAGTCATGGGGAGCCCGTTCCAAAGTCGCCTTACTTCAGTGACGCTCTCCTTTGGTGGCTCCAACCCTTTCTTTGGCTCCCACGTCACTTGCCAATCCACTCATGTGAGCCCAACATATCGGGTTCCTCCCATAATGAAAGCTCTGATTTTTTGGGTGTGCCCTTTTCAGGTTGCTTGAAAGGGAAGCCAAAAGGTTGTGCTTCCAGGGCCTGGAGTGTTGGAGCATGCCATCCCAGGCCCTGGTGAGTATCAATGAGTGTTGATAGTTGTCAATTTGACACAGCCCAGACAGGCCCAGGTGTTCGCCAGCGTCGCCAGCGCGCCAGGCAGGCCTGGAGCTGTCCATGGCTGACACCTCCATCGGCCCGGACGCCTCTCAGGCGGGAGAATGGAGGCCTTCGGGGGTCGAAATGTGAGACATGGCTTCATGTTCTTGACGTTTATTTTTTCTTCTTGACAGCTTTTTGTTGGGGGGGACATGTGTTTTTTGAGGTTGAGGTTGTGTGTTTTGCTTAAGGACGTGCTGTTTAAGAGGTGGCTTCCTGCTGTTTTTTGTGGGGGGGGGGGAGGGGGGGAATGCTTTGGTTGTTGAAATTGTGTTTTCTGCGGAGTCCTTTTTGGAGCTGCTGAAAAAGCTGTTCCTTTTGCGGGAGAGCCTTGCGTGAGGTTGTTGAACTTGCTTTTTTGAGGGAGTTTGGGATTTTGAAAGGGAAGCCAACTGGAAAGCACCTATTCTGAGGGTTGCACTTTGCAGAGGCAAACCCACATGCGATTACAATGATTATGGGGACCTTGAGCTTTGAACAGCTGGCCGTCAAGACAGGTTTTTGGCTCGCAAAAGGTTCTTGAAGGATCAGGTGCTTCAGAATGATATATGTTGCATTATTTTCCGGATGAAGCTGGTTACCTGGTTGGTCTGTGTGCGCCTTGGTTTCGCCAGCACGTTTTGACGCCCCTGGCTTTCCTTGGGCGGCAGAAGGCTGTTCAGAGCACGCAATGGGCAGGGTTGCTCCAAGCTTTCAGCCGGCAGAACAGTGGACGACTTGGGTTGCCCTTTCCGGCCAAACAATTCTCCCCGACATGTTGGAAGGATGTCCATAGAAATTGCATCCTTCTTCTCTTGGTTGCAACTCTAACTTGCTGGTGCTCAGTAGGGACTGGTGGAAAGAACCCAGAGGGTTCGCCTTAAAAGGAAACCACCAACTGTGGTCGTTCCATGTCTCATTCCCTGCATCTCTCGCACTGGCAAGTTTGTTCTGGCTCCCAACCCCCCCCCCCCGGACGTCATCCCTAGGAGTTCTCCGGCGAGATCTCCCAAGAGCTCTTGTCGTCTCATCTGGCGGGGGCCTCGCAGCCATGGATCCGGCGAGCCGGCGGGATCGATCCGGGTCTTGCGCACTCGTTTCCGGGGGACCTCTTGCTTCCATTTGCTTAAGGCTAGTTTTGATCTTCCGTTGTTGATCTTTTCCAGGGGTCTCAAGCAAATGGAAGCTTGTGCACACAGTTGTTTTTTTTCACGTTTGCTAGCAAGCCAAAGGGGAATGTTCGCATTTAGAGGGAACCATTTGGACATTTGAGGTTCACAACAACTGGAGGATCAGGCATAGCACGTGGCAAGGAAAGACCCGAGCTAAGCAGTGCACAGGGAGTCTCCAGGCCTTTGATAGCTTACCTCGTTGATTTGTGCCAGAGCCCTTTGAGCCCGAAATTGGAGAGAGATGGTCGGTTGTCCCCTTTCTGTCCACGGCTCACCTCGAGCAAACAACCAGAGACGGGTGCTTGTTTTGGCGTGCCGCAGTTGTGCGGTGAAGTCTGAACGTCTTCCAATGCCAAGCAACGTCAGCAGGCGGCTAAGTGATGTGCCCTTTTGGCAAAATAGACGGATTCCACTCGCAGTTGTGACTGGAGCCAAACTGAATCCAGTGGAGTTCATCTATTTTCAACCAAGCTGAGACCTCAGTGGTTCAGTGGCACCTAAATCCATCTAAATCCCTTGCTGGGTTCCCATCTGAAAGACATGCCGCCCCTTTTTCTACCTGTCAGGTCACTGGCAGAGGAAACACAAAAACACAAACCACACCCACCCACCCACCCGCCCACCCACCCATGCACGCACGCACGCAACGCACGCACGCGCGCGCAGACATACGGCACTAAGGACTCCATGGCGGTCCGGGCCTCCGAGACAACAGGCCACAACAACTCCATGATGTCGGCCAGCAGCATGCCGGGAGACCAAGCTGGCCATGGGGCCATGGGTGGCCATGGGGCTGGTGGCCACTTGTGAAAAGCTATGGGTCACGGTTACGGGACATGTGGTACCAACGGGTACGTATGGCATTTGCCAGTTGGTTTTAGGTCTGACCTTTTCTTGCTGTTCACTTTTGTTCAGCTTTCAGGGAAAACTTAGCCCGCACTCAATGGGTACAGCAAGCTGTTGCAATGACGTCGCCTAGCCTGCCTGATGTCAACGGCGTTCAAAGGCTTTGCCAAACCTCCCTGGTCTGCAAAACGCTGTGGTTCGCAAACATTGGCCTTTGCTTGGCAATTGTTGGTTGGAAGTGCAAGCGTACGCAAAGACATGAGTTCGCAAATGTTCGCCTCAGCGTGTAGCCGCAGTCTGCCAGTTTTGTTCTTCAGTAGCACATAGTGGCTGGGCAAATTGGCAAGGTTTCTGCAAACCGCGCCCCCAATTACCTTGTAGCTGGTAATCAGGCATCTTGCTTTAGGTTTCAACTCGTGCTTTTCCGTGGTGGCCTATGGTGTTTGTCTCATATTTGGCCGGATTTTTAGCCCTTCACCTTTTGGATGACTGACCCACAAACAAGTTGAACTTTTTGGGTTTGGGCAATAGGAACGTGGGGCAACTGGAACACTGGCTCTGACTGACAATGAGCAATGCATGCCCCGATCCGGCAGGATCGAGGACAGCCACGCGCCTGCAGCTGGCGAAACTCTGGCGGAGATAGAGGAGGAGGAGGAGGCAGGAGAATGCAACTGGTGCTTATCATGGAGCCTTTGGGATGGGCCCTGACACCCGGTCGTGCGTTTCATGGCAACAGGTGCCTGAACTCGCCTGCCCACCCACGAGAGCCTTGAGTGCTGGGCATCGTAAGTTGTGCCGGGAAGGTGCCTGCTTTCGTTCACAGAATTCAAAGTGACCCTTAAAAGGGTATCGCCGCGCACTTCCATGTTTTCCCGGCAAAAGTGGCTACAGGCACGGCCTTGCAACCAGATTTGGCCAGAGGGACCTGTGGTCCAATGTCGTGATCCCTACTGTGCATGGACGAAATCCTGCACTACTTTGATTCCATGGGGAACCATGCAGGACTTCTTAGGTGGTGCGAATTGAATTTCGTCGCAAAGGCGCGGCCCAAGCTGCTGCAGACGGCGGGCCTCGCGGCCTTGGTGGCGCTGCCGGAAGGCGAGCCGGGCCCCGGGGACCCTTCGAGCCGGCGAGGCCCAAGGTGAAAATATCTAGGTCCTCCACCTGATCCCCCAAAAAACCGTTTCTTTTTTGGGTTTTGGGTTCCCCTAGTAAAAATCGACTGCACAAAAAGGGTAGCCCTTATTCTAACCTCCCTGCTGGAGGGCCTAGCCAAGGCTTTAACATACACCGGGGAACAACTGCTGACTCAAACTTCCAGATGCTAAAGTGGATCTCCAGAGACATCTAAATGTTGGAGGGTGCTAAAGTGGACAGCCTGAAGCGAGTTTCTTCTCGCTGTGAGCATGACCACCCCTGTTTGGGTGAGAAGTTGCTGGTGGAACCGGCACAGCTTTGCCCCACCTTTCACGATGGGGATGCCCACCAACCAGTCGTTTTGTTTGGAAGCTTTCGACATATTCCGCAAATGCTCTGAAACCGGCAGAGATAGATGCAGTGACATCGTGAGGTAAGAAGTGTGCCAAGAGTACATCAAATGGAAAGGATCCAATCTGATTCGAGACACGCCCCTTGGCTGTAAAGCGAGTAAGGTAGATAGGTTGGCTAGCTCGTAAGTATGCTCACTAGCCATCGGGTTAGTCAGTTGAATCTAAGTCGCAGGCTAGTTGGACCATTCATCACGCATCCTGTTGAATGGCATTGCTTCTTTGCGGGAAGGGTGCATGAACCTCGGCTTGGAACCTGACGAACCCAAGGGTATCCTCAAAACACAGGGCTCGGTCAGTATTACCGGTAGTCGATGGTCCATTCGGGGTTCGATCGGTTTCGTTTTCGCAGGTCGCGGGAGCTTTGGGAAGAAGCTACTTTGCGCTTGGACAGCCCAGTTTTGAGACGAGCGGCCGTCCCCGAGTGAACCTGCCTGGGCGCGGCTGTCAGGTTTGTTGGGTGTACTCTCCATTGAGGAGCGTGATTGAATATGGTTCCGGCTAGCCGTCACTGCAGGACCTTAGGGGGCAGATGTGGGAAGAAAGTTGACGCGAGTTTCGGCGCCGCTTTCATCACAAAAACATTTTGCTCAGACGCGCTTCCCCTAGTTTACCAGGGTTCCAAGTGTACGTGGGTGAGCAGTGCCAGGATGCAGGTAGAACAAACCATCGGATGGATGCATGTGCCAATAGTTCAAGTCAGGGTGGTAGCAAGTCCTCAGCAGGGTGCTGGCAAAACTGTCGTGGGCCGGAAGAGGGTCAGGCAATCAAGGAAGCTTGTTGGGGTTCGGGGGCGGGGGCATCTGCCACTGCCTGGTGCGCATCAAAGTACTGCGAGGCTGCCGCCCTGCGTGAGACCCATTTTAGCAGAACAAGCAGCATGTGTTGGCTTGCTGTGCGGTGTCCATGTTCCTTTGACTGAAGAAGCCGTTGAGGCAAGAGATAATAGCGGTTTTCAGGGTTGATTACCACGGCCAACATTCAGAGCAAAGCTGAGGTGCACATGATCGATAATCAAATGCGCAGAAGCTGCGCGTTGAGTGACCCCCGTTTTATGCCCTTCATATGGGCCTGTTTTTCTTAAGGGTGCCCCCATTTTCAAGGAAGCCCGACATGGTAACAGACAGACTCATTCATGAAAATAGTTGTTTCAAGCTTTTGGGCCGGCCGAGAATTGAGGTGGCGGCGCCTCCCTACCACAACTGCGTGGCCTTTGCGAATGAGATCAGGGAGCTCAGCTGTCCAATGCCGCCGTGCACTGTTTGATCTGCTATTGGGTTGGATCTTTAGCCTTTAACTTTTTGGGAAATTAAAGGGTTTTTCACTAAACCCACAAGAAGCTAAACTGTTTGCAGAGGGGTCAACAGCTGATTTTCCAGATGAGTCACTTGCTCGAAACCGATTCGGGTAGTTGGAGGAAAAGGTGGAGGAAAAGGGGCAATCCCCTTGCCATAAATGGGTGCCTGAAGCATATCCGCTTTTTTTAAGCTCTTTACATGGTTCTGGGTTCGCCATGTCAATGCCAGGTTTTGATTCTGGCTCATCTGTTTGTGTGTTCTCTCGATTGATGTCCCCTAAAGTGGGTCATGAGCCGTGGCCAGCTGGATGGGCCTGATCCTTATGCGAGCCGAGCGGCAACAGCATACAAATGTTGGCTTCCTACCGACCAACGTGGAAGTGCACAGACCCCTGTAGAATTGCGACTTTCCTCTTGTGAAAGGGGGGTTTGTGCACTTCCATGTTTGTTTGTGGGAGGGTGCATCGAAGGACCATCCTGCAGTACCAGGAAGAAGGGCGGCAGCTAAGCTACAGAAACCCATAGGTCCCTGCCCAAATTCCTGCCGGCTTCTAGATAATTCAGGCCACGCCTCCAGGAAGGTCCAGGGCCCCCTGTCTGGCCAGTGGGGGCTGCGATAGGAAAGCAAAAGGAGAATGTGCTCCTTTTTCAGATTCATTGCCGGAGAGGGCCTTCTTCATCACAGGTGTTTTGGATGATTGCGGGGCACAGCTGCCGGAGACATGTGCGCAGCGCGGCAAGTTATGAAGTTATCCTGGCCGCATTTGGGAGAAACAAGCCTACTTCCTCATGAGCTGGATCAACTCCACTGAGTTGGACTGCAGGGTCTTGATCCTGATAAGGCTGTGGCTCAAAATTCGGTGCGCCAAATGGAACCCTGGCAAATGGAAAGTTAAACTAAAACCTGCGGTTTTGTCTGGTGGTTTAATTTGGACCCACACCCATAAAATGCAATTGGACACCGTCAGGTGCCAGCAATCAGATTCCCCAGCACGCGGCCGCAGGACGAACGCTCGGCTGACCCCCCACGATCGCGGCAGCTACTGGATAGGAGCCTGGGACGTGAGTTGCCCCTTGCGCCAATGGAAGCTGGGACCATATTTCCAAGGAGCGTATCCAGTTGTGCGTGGGCATTGTCTTTGTTTCAGGTTGCAATCCTGGGGAGTTGCAGCCTATCCAAGAGCCTATCCACTAGTGTTTCCGAAGAGCAGTTTCTAGTTTCTGCTTTGTGGCTTGCTTAACACTCATTCCGAGTCATCCCGACTGAATGAGGGGTACATTGTAACTTATTTTTATTGTCGCATTGTTTTTGTTTCCATGCGGCTTGCTTAGCCCTCGATTTGACTCATCACTTAGTTAATATTTGGTGTGGAAAGTGGGTTTGACATGGCGGCCTGTTTTTCGGGCTTAAGGAATTCAGCTGGATCCTTGGGCGGCAGTCTTTGTTGCAAGGCTTAAGCATGTCCTCGCTTCTGGTTTTGCATGTGGTTCAGAATGTGTCATTGAGCATTGCGTGTTTGCTTGGCTGCTGGATAGGTTGGGGAAAGCACGTGTTGCATATAAGTGGGCATAGGATGCGTGTAAGTGGTCAGTTCACGTGTTTTCTCAACCGCGCGTGGCGTAACTTGGAGCTGCTCTGGGATGTCTTATTTGGTTGAGCTGCGGCTGTGGTACCTTCAGGGTGGCTGCGGTGGCATGCTTCGCGCAAGAGGAGCCAGGAAAAGATTGAACGTAAACAGTCCATGGCCCCTGGTCACATAAAGTCACTTGAAACAATTTCTAAGCTCCAGTGGCTCCTCTTGTCTCCCTCATCGCTCTCAATCAGGCAAATTGTGTGGCCTAGGTTGCGTATAGTTTGTTTCTGGGTGAAAATGTTCATCATGTTCAGATTCTTTCCCCAGAACATGTAACAGCCAAAATTATTTGGATGATGAGTGGTCACCTGCTTGAGCTGGTATGCCAAGGGTGTTCGAGCTTGTTCGAGCCGGAATATGGGATTGTCATTTTGTAGGTTGCCCCTTTTCTGTGGTTTGAAAGTAAAGCCAAAAGGAACACAATTTTGGGGGGTCCCCGAAAGAGAGACCCAGGCCGTAGCTTGCCATGATCCTGTCTCGCCTCGGCCCCTCCGCCCTTCGGCTCGTCTCTGGCCGTTGGTCGGCTTTTTTAGGCAACAGCAACTTCATGGGACCAATGCCCATGGCCTTGGCAATTTCTGGAAATTTGAGTCAGCACCGAGTCTTAAGCTAAACTTTTGCACCATGGCCTTGCCAATGGAGACTTTGGCCGTAGAGGCACCGATGGGGCGAGAAACGCTGAGATGAGACAGGTGTGCTTGTGTATGTGCGCGCGTGTGTGACTCTGTTCTGGCACATGCAGAAATGCTCGCAAAGCGAAACCATGAATTGTGATTTAACGCGCTGACGCGCCAAGGGCCTTGCCTTGATTCTGAATATTAGGCAGTTACAGCGGTTCGGAAGGGGACGCGTCGCTAGCTGCAAGGAATGTAAGCTTCATACCACAAAGCCGAACAATTGTTAGCTGCTTGCCATCATCGACCCACTTGCACATGGTTTTGCCCCAAGGCCCAACAAGCCGCACATGTTCCTTGGTGCTTCCGGCAGCACTGCCTTAGGCACCTTGCTGAGAGTCAATGAATATATACGCACGTATTTGTGTTTACCTTTGCATTTATGCATACATATATGTATACATCCTAGTTGTGTAACATGAATTAGACACACACACACACACACACATATATATATATATATACATATGCACGAAACCTTGACGCAAGGGTTGGCCCCAAACCAGCATTCTGCGCTTGAAAGTTGCCAACCATGCCATACTTTCGGAACTTTTGGCTTAAATCTATTTCGCGCCCATGCCTTCGCAGACGCGGTAACAACAGTTTTTTCTCAGCCTTGCTTTTTTGGAGCTCCCAAAGTGGCAGTTTCAAAGGATTTCCAAAGGAACCCGGAAAGAAATCGCAAGATTCGAACAAGAACCCCCTTCCCCCCCACCCCACAAGAAAAGCAAAAAATACCTCCCCCCCCCATTATTGTTCGAACAATAACCCTCCCAAAGAACAACCCCCCCCCCTCCTTCCGGGGGTAGGCGTGGCTGGAGGGAGCCCGGGGCGCCCCCTATGGCTGGACCAGCCATCGCCTCGGCGCGCGAAGCGAAGGAGTCGCGAAGCCTTCGCGTACCTGGCGTTTTTGTTTTTTTCCTCACTTCTGGGATGGCTGGGAACCCAGTTCCTTAGCTTAGCTGGTTTGGTTTCCAAATCTCACCCACAAGTTGAACTTTTAGCAGATCTGGGGACAGGCCAGAATGCCCGAGTTCCTGGACTAGAGTCGCTTTTCGGGTTTTGTTGCCATTTTAGTGGTAAACAACAAGTTTGGCTACTTTTTGTTGCCAATCCACTCAGGAAGTGAGTTTTTGATGCTTGGAGGAGTTGAACCTCCTCTCTTCTTCTTTTTTTCCGGCACCAGCTTCTACACAGCCACTTGATCTTTTGGTAGTTTGCGGAATTGCACCCCTGGTGTTGATAAATGATGGAAACCAGCCCGGAACACCAAGCCAAACTACAAAAAGGCACAGAGTCATTTACCAAGTGTGTACTGCAGGTGCAGTTGGTACGTTTATCCAGGCCATGCATCCCTGATGCAGAATCTTGTGCTTGCTTCTCCAGGATTGCCAATCAAGGTTTGTCGGAAAGCCTCCAAACCAGGCAACAGCCAAGCATGGTGGCTGTTCCCGAAGCAGAGGGAAAGCATGTTTGGGCGATGACCGGATGTACCTAAACAATGCAATCGTATAGCTTTTGCTTTTCTCATCCTCAGAAACAAGTTGGGCTCGGTCTTGCGCCAGGGTGACGGGCGCAGCCTTCCTTTTTTCAAACCTGCATGCTGGATGAAGAAAAAAACTGTTCTGCTTGAGACCTTCTGCTCCCAGCCATTCCCTTAGACTGCTTCAAAGTTTTGAGGGATTCGCGACATATATCGCAAAGGTGTTTTCGAAGGGACGGACGAACCACGCTGAGAGTTGGAGCGAACTGCAGGCTTCGCCTCGCTCAGGCCTGGTGATGCTCTCCATTGCAGGGCTCCTGCTGTTCGCCCTGAAGAAGAAGGCGCTCACGATATTTCTCGCTGCCGGGTGAGTTCTCTCCAAGTGATTTCGGGTCTCATCTCCTGGATGCCAACTCCACTGGGGTAGACTTAGGATACATTTTAGATCTTACCAGTGACTCAAAGGGAAGCAAACAATAGAATATACATTCTATAACTGGGCCTAAGTCTAATCATGCCCAAGCAAGCGTACATGAAAAGCGACCCGTGTTTGCATCATAGCCGTGCTTCCACATTGTTTGAACCTAACAGGAGGATGCTTATTTCGCCACCGGTCCGAACATAGGTTCAAGATGCCGAGAGTGCTACCATCCCCTACCCACTATCGAGTCCGGAGTGTGAGCCACGTGCTGCCTTTTGGTGGTGACTTTCATTTATGCACCTCCTTATGGGCGGTTCTTTCCAAAATGGGGGGAGGGGCGGGGGATATATAGTTGTTTCCTGCCGGGTGCCAGAAGAAAACAAATAAGAACCACTCCAAAGGGAGTTCGCCATTTTGACACGTCGAAATTCATGTGTATGTGTGTATACGTGTGTTTTGCCTTGCGAGTGCATTTTTTTGGGTGGTTTGAAAGGGAAGTCGAAGGGAAGAATTGGTTTCCCATGGAAGTGGGATGAGTATCAGGGAAGCAGCCCCCATTTACCCCAAGTTTTGTTGAGGTATAGCCTCCTTGGGTGATCTGACTCTCAGCTGTTTTGCCGCAGGGCCAGACCGTCGCGGAGTCTCCAAAGCGAAAGACTTTGGGCATCCGCGAGGAGCTGACAGAGACGGACTACCTGGATATGGGCATGCCCCAGGACAGCGCAGAGCCAAGCATAAAAGTAAACTTGGGCTTGTCTGCGACGGACAAGTCTCAAAATAGTGCCCAGTGAAGGGTTTAGCTACAGGCATTCTCATATAGACACCAGTCTAAATCTCAATGACACCACGTAAACTTGGGTTTTCCTCTCTGGTGTCCATTTTTCTTGCTGGCTCTCAGCAGGCTGAGGGAATTCCCCTTATAACTTATAAACCATCCCTTGTGGTTTCCTGTAAGGGAATCCCTGGGTTCATTCAACCACATTCCCTGCCTAACTCGCGCCAGCAAGTTTTCGAACCACCCCTCGCACACCCGGCCCCAAGAAGACCGGCGAAACTCCGAGCTTCCCTCAGGAGCTGCACCTGGAGGGCGGCTTCTTCCCAGCCACGGAGCTTCTGCACAGCAACAGCTCCCACGCGCCGCTCGGAGAGAAACGGAGGCCCGAGAAGGGCCGGCGAACCTGGCGAGCGGGGTGTGTCGGGTGTCTGGACGCCGCGAGGATGGCGGCTGTCTTTTGAAAGGTGCGGGGGGGTTGTTGCTGAAAGTAAATCTCTGGTACTTGAGGTGCCGCCTGAAACAAAAGATGTTTGCGCATGTTGCGCGTGTTCGCACGTGTGTGCGTGTACGTGGTGTTTGGTGTGTGGTATTTGGCTTGTGGTGTGTGTGTGTGTGTGTGTTGACTCTGCGGTTGTGTATTCGTTGTGTATTTGTTAGCTTGCTTTCTGTTTTTTCTTTCTTGGTTTGTTTGTTTGTTTCTTGGTTTCTTTGGTTCTTCAGTTTTTTCATTCCTTCGGTTGTGATTTTGTTGAACGGTGGCTGCTTTGCTTGCTTGGTTTGTTTGTTTGGCTGGTTGTGTGTTTGCTTGCTTGCTTGCTTGCTTGCTTGCTTGCTTGCTTGCTTGCTTGCTTGCTTGCTTTGCTTGCTTTGCTTGCTTTGCTTGCTTGCTTGCTTGCTTGCTTGCTTTGCTTGCTTTGCTTGCTTTGCTTGCTTTGCTTGCTTTGCTTGCTTTGCTTGCTTTGTTTGTTTGCTTGTTTGCTTGTTTGCTTGTTTGCTTTCTTGCTTTCTTGCTTGCTTGCTTGCTTGCTTTCTTGCTTTCTTGCTTGCTTGCTTGCTTGCTTGCTTG